TGTAGAATTTACTAAGGATCCTAAGATTCCTAAGTATATTAAATGAATTCTTCAAGGAATATTAAATGAATTCTTAAAAGAATTTCCTTACTATCTGTAGAATTTAATAAGGATCCTAAGATTCCTAAGAATATTAAATGAATTCTTCAAGGAATTTCCTTACTATTTGTAGAATTTACTAAGGATCTTAAGATTGCTAAGTATATTGAATGAATTCTTCAAGGAATATTAAATGAATTCTTAAAGGAATTTCCTTACTATTTGTAGAATTTACTAAGGATCTTAAGATTGCTAAGTATATTGAATGAATTCTTCAAGGAATATTAAATGAATTCTTAAAGGAATTTCCTTACTATTTGTAGAATTTACTAAGGATCCTAAGATTCCTAAGTATATTAAATGAATTCTTCAAGGAATATTAAATGAATTCTTAAAGGAATTTCCTTACTATCTGTAGAATTTAATAAGGATCCTAAGATTCCTAAGCATATTAAATGAATTCTTCAAGGAATTTCCTTACTATTTGTAGAATTTACTAAGGATCCTAAGATTGCTAAGTATATTAAATGAATTCTTCAAGGAATTTCCTTACTATTTGTAGAATTTACTAAGGATCTTAAGATTGCTAAGTATATTGAATGAATTCTTCAAGGAATATTAAATGAATTCTTAAAAGAATTTCCTTACTATCTGTAGAATTTAATAAGGATCCTAAGATTGCTAAGTATATTAAATGAATTCTTCAAGGAATATTAAATGAATTCTTAAAGGAATTTCCTTACTATCTGTAGAATTTATTAAGGATCCTAAGATTCCTAAGTATATTAAATGAATTCTTCAAGGAATTTCCTTACTATTTGTAGAATTTACTAAGGATCTTAAGATTGCTAAGTATATTGAATGAATTCTTCAAGGAATATTAAATGAATTCTTAAAAGAATTTCCTTACTATCTGTAGAATTTAATAAGGATCCTAAGATTCCTAAGTATATTAAATGAATTCTTCAAGGAATTTCCTTACTATTTGTAGAATTTACTAAGGATCCTAAGATTCCTAAGTATATTAAATGAATTCTTCAAGGAATATTAAATGAATTCTTAAAAGAATTTCCTTACTATCTGTAGAATTTAATAAGGATCCTAAGATTCCTAAGTATATTAAATGAATTCTTCAAGGAATATTAAATGAATTCTTAAAAGAATTTTCTTACTTTCTGTAGAATTTAATAAGGATCCTAAGATTCCTAAGAATATTAAATGAATTCTTCAAGGAATTTTCTTACTATTTGTAGAATTTACTAAGGATCCTAAGATTGCTAAGTATATTAAATGAATTCTTCAAGGAATATTAAATGAATTCTTAAAAGAATTTCTTTACTATCTGTAGAATTTAATAAGGATCCTAAGATTCCTAAGTATATTAAATGAATTCTTCAGGGAATTTCCTTACTATTTGTAGAATTTACTAAGGATCTTAAGATTGCTAAGTATATTGAATGAATTCTTCAAGGAATATTAAATGAATTCTTAAAAGAATTTCCTTACTATCTGTAGAATTTAATAAGGATCCTAAGATTGCTAAGTATATTAAATGAATTCTTCAAGGAATATTAAATGAATTCTTAAAAGAATTTCCTTACTATCTGTAGAATTTAATAAGGATCCTAAGATTCCTAAGAATATTAAATGAATTCTTCAAGGAATTTCCTTACTATTTGTAGAATTTACTAAGGATCTTAAGATTGCTAAGTATATTGAATGAATTCTTCAAGGAATATTAAATGAATTCTTAAAGGAATTTCCTTACTATTTGTAGAATTTACTAAGGATCCTAAGATTCCTAAGTATATTAAATGAATTCTTCAAGGAATATTAAATGAATTCTTAAAAGAATTTCCTTACTATCTGTAGAATTTAATAAGGATCCTAAGATTCCTAAGAATATTAAATGAATTCTTCAAGGAATTTCCTTATTATTTGTAGAATTTACTAAGGATCTTAAGATTGCTAAGTATATTGAATGAATTCTTCAAGGAATATTAAATGAATTCTTAAAGGAATTTCCTTACTATTTGTAGAATTTACTAAGGATCCTAAGATTGCTAAGTATATTAAATGAATTCTTCAAGGAATATTAAATGAATTCTTAAAGGAATTTCCTTACTATCTGTAGAATTTATTAAGGATCCTAAGATTCCTAAGTATATTAAATGAATTCTTCAAGGAATTTCCTTACTATTTGTAGAATTTACTAAGGATCTTAAGATTGCTAAGTATATTGAATGAATTCTTCAAGGAATATTAAATGAATTCTTAAAGGAATTTCCTTACTATTTGTAGAATTTACTAAGGATCCTAAGATTCCTAAGTATATTAAATGAATTCTTCAAGGAATATTAAATGAATTCTTAAAGGAATTTCCTTACTATCTGTAGAATTTAATAAGGATCCTAAGATTCCTAAGCATATTAAATGAATTCTTCAAGGAATTTCCTTACTATTTGTAGAATTTACTAAGGATCCTAAGATTGCTAAGTATATTAAATGAATTCTTCAAGGAATTTCCTTACTATTTGTAGAATTTACTAAGGATCTTAAGATTGCTAAGTATATTGAATGAATTCTTCAAGGAATATTAAATGAATTCTTAAAAGAATTTCCTTACTATCTGTAGAATTTAATAAGGATCCTAAGATTGCTAAGTATATTAAATGAATTCTTCAAGGAATATTAAATGAATTCTTAAAGGAATTTCCTTACTATCTGTAGAATTTATTAAGGATCCTAAGATTCCTAAGTATATTAAATGAATTCTTCAAGGAATTTCCTTACTATTTGTAGAATTTACTAAGGATCTTAAGATTGCTAAGTATATTGAATGAATTCTTCAAGGAATATTAAATGAATTCTTAAAAGAATTTCCTTACTATCTGTAGAATTTAATAAGGATCCTAAGATTCCTAAGTATATTAAATGAATTCTTCAAGGAATTTCCTTACTATTTGTAGAATTTACTAAGGATCCTAAGATTCCTAAGTATATTAAATGAATTCTTCAAGGAATATTAAATGAATTCTTAAAAGAATTTCCTTACTATCTGTAGAATTTAATAAGGATCCTAAGATTCCTAAGAATATTAAATGAATTCTTCAAGGAATTTCCTTACTATTTGTAGAATTTACTAAGGATCCTAAGATTGCTAAGTATATTAAATGAATTCTTCAAGGAATATTAAATGAATTCTTAAAAGAATTTCCTTACTATCTGTAGAATTTACTAAGGATCCTAAGATTGCTAAGTATATTAAATGAATTCTTCAAGAAATTTCCTTACTATTTGTAGAATTTACTAAGGATCCTAAGATTGCTAAGTATATTAAATGAATTCTTCAAGGCATATTAAATGAATTCTTAAAAGAATTTCCTTACTATCTGTAGAATTTAATAAGGATCCTAAGATTCCTAAGTATATTAAATGAATTCTTCAAGGAATTTCCTTACTTTATGTAGAATTTACTAAGGATCCTAAGATTGCTAAGTATATTAAATGAATTCTTCAAGGAATATTAAATGAATTCTTAAAAGAATTTCCTTACTATCTGTAGAATTTAATAAGGATCCTAAGATTCCTAAGAATATTAAATGAATTCTTCAAGGAATTTCCTTACTATTTGTAGAATTTACTAAGGATCTTAAGATTGCTAAGTATATTGAATGAATTCTTCAAGGAATATTAAATGAATTCTTAAAAGAATTTCCTTACTATCTGTAGAATTTAATAAGGATCCTAAGATTCCTAAGTATATTAAATGAATTCTTCAAGGAATTTCCTTACTTTATGTAGAATTTACTAAGGATCCTAAGATTCCTAAGTATATTAAATGAATTCTTCAAGAAATTTCCTTACTATTTGTAGAATTTACTAAGGATCCTAAGATTCCTAAGTATATTAAATGAATTCTTCAAGGAATATTAAATGAATTCTTCAAGGAATTTCCTTACTTTCTGTAGAATTTACTAAGGATCCTAAGATTGCTAAGTATATTAAATGAATTCTTCAAGGAATTTCCTAATACTGAAGAATTTGCTAAGGATCCTTAGGATCCAATTTTAGTAAAGATATTGACTTTTATTTCTTGTTAATGTTAAGATTTGCAATAAACTAACGAGTGCCTATTAAAAAATTGGAGAAAGTCATGGTGTTATATATTGTTTTATGCTTCAAAAATATTCGTTCGGTCAATAACTCGAAAGAACTGAGCTGATTAAACAAACCCGAGCATGGTTAAAAAGTTTTTCTTCGCCCGATCAGCCGAACACCCGAACAACCGAACAAAGTGTACTAATAAGCTACCTTTAAGAAACAAGTTTCAAAAATGCGGTAAAATTTCTTAATTGGTAAACCATGTTGAAATTCCTAATTTTTGTACTTTTTCATTAACTTATTTAATTATTCCTGTTACTTTACGTATGAAAAACGTAGGAATTTCCTATAGGAAATCCTAGGAATTCCTTGAAAATTATACGTAAAGTAACAGGAATTCCTAGGAATTACTTTCTGCCAGATGACGATGAGCCTATTCAAACAATTTTATGACAATTCATTTACAACCTAGTTTTACCGCCAAGTCAAATCTCTAAATAACCCCAAAAGATTGAATACTAAATATGTAAACTTACAGAGCCATCCGATTGCCAAAGCTATTCAAATATGCAAGAATAAGCTCAAGTTTTGTTAGTTCATAAATGCACTCGCTGTGAGTACAATCTCTTACTATGTTCTGCATACTGCTGCATACATAATGCATGACGTTCATGAATTTTTTCACATGAAAAATAAGGTAAGTAATTCAAATTTAAATGCTTTACAAATAAAGTTTTTACAGAATGCACCCGACAAAAATTTCCCTTATTTTTTAAATCATGGGAAATTTAAATGCGTGAGAAAAATGTCACAAGTTGTTGCAAACAATTTTTTTTTTATTTTAATTTTCTTTATTTTTACCATGACGAGGGAACGAAACGATTTTCTTTTGATTTTTCAGAAATACTTTCGAAAAGTAAGCTATTCATGATTTGAAGGAGCCTGAAAAGGGTAGACGAATTTAATTTAAAAAAAATCTTGAAAATTCAACATGAAAAAAACAAATCTTAGTTACATATTTAATTTCCTCTTTTCTGAATCATGCTTATGGCATTGAGTTTCCATGTCAATTGAAAACTTTTGAAGAAAATTTCTCTGATCTGGATTTTTCTCTTGCTGCATGCATTTAATTTTCTCCGTGCAATTACTGGAAAAATTATAAATTAATTATTAAAAGGTTTGTTTGTCGTAAACTTTAGAACAGAGGCTATATAAAGGCATAATTTCTGATGAACTGTAGTTTTGTGACGGTTCAAACCAGAGCTCAAAGTCGATGAAATTTTGTTTAGAGTCGAGTCGACTCGAGCCTTGGTTCAAACAAAAGTGAATTAACACAAATTTTATGACAAGGACGCAGGGGAACTAAATTCTCGTTTTTGATTGACGTCACTTATGAACAGCCGCTCAACAAAACTAATTGTTTCAAATAAAGCTTTTATATTTTATGCAATTTTAAATGATTTAATTGCATGCGTTCGCTAATATACTCAAGTTCTTTTGAATTACAAGGTACGCAATTATGTTTAAAAGTTTTATAACTAGCATCATTGCATAATATTGAGCTTTACAGCAGCTTTTTCATCACTTTAAGATTCAATATAATTTTAACCTTATCTCAAATATTCATTCAATGTCGCAAAACTTAAATCGCTTAAAACTTCTTATAACAAGCTTCATCCACCCTGCGATGTTATTAAAAATATGAAAATGAGGAAAAGCACTCACCTGATTATCATCTCCACCATACATTTCCCGCTATCATCTTCGTGCAGCATAGATGTTGAAAGTTTTTCTTTATTAAACGAGTTGCTTTGAGTTTCTTTCAATTTTTCACTACAAAGATTAGTATTGTTGCAGATCCAATGCATTAAGGTATCACAATTATCTCCTTTCTCATTTGTGCTGCTTATAGCTCGAGAAAATTCATTACTGTTCAGCACTTTGATATTCATGTTAATGTATAGAGTATGCACAAGTTCAAGACACTTTGGCGACCATTGAGATGGCTTGAGAGGTGATAAAAAGGAAGAAGATTAGGTTTGAATGTTTTAGTTGTTTGAGGGTACGGAAGTTATTAAAATGATCAAAATGATCACAAAGTTATTGATTGTTCTGACTTCCTGGAGCTTACTGTACAAAGAGTAGCGAGAGTGTCACTTAGATGAGTCTAGCTAACGAGAGAGTTTAACGAGTGAGGATGCGGCACTGCACTCAAACCTAGACCTACAATTTATAATGGAACCCGAACCAATCCTTTGATAACATTTCTGTCTGTAGCCTACAAAGGTAGGCTATGCACCTCATTTCCAGTACATATGATTCCAAAAAGGATAAAAAAAAATTTCCCATGCCCAGCCTCGAATCCATGATCGCTGTGTCGGTATTACAACCGAGCCACTTCAGCTCACTATTGGACTATGACTCTGAAATGTTAGCTTCCTACACTCGATTCTTATGCTAAACACATCGTTGACATAAGAAGAAAAACATCCCTCAACGTTCAACTTTATTACAAGAGCCTTTCAACAAAATTTTTAAAAAAGAAAAAAGTCAAAGCTGTCAAACAAGCAACTCACCTTCTCATAAAATCCACGATCATTATATTCAAAATATCCATCAGGAACTAAATATTCACGAAATACTTCATTATCATACTGATAAATATTACATTTCATTGGTATCAAATGCATTTGCACAGCATGTCCATAAGACTTCACAATTATATGAAATAATTTTGTAAATCCAGCTTTGAGAAATCCAGTATGTGGCTCAATAGAGATATTACAGGGTAAATCCAATGAATCAAAATTGCCCCATTCATATTTAATGCAATGTTTCGAGTTGTTCTGTAAACCAATTAAATTTTCATTCGAAATTCCATTTTGTGGAATCACAATACACAAATTATCTCCATGTATTACAAAGGGATTTAATTGCGATGGAATATGGCTGTTTGGGGAGTTGTGAATGAGCCATGCACAATTTGTGTTACATGCAGAAGAGGATTTGCATTCAGCATACATTTTTGTTCTACATTCACATTCATTGAAGATAATTCCAATTTCCATCTGTGGTTCAAAAGTGTCATTAAATTTTATGGTTTCTATTTTCCTCATCTAATTACTTACTTCATAGCATCCCACGTAAGTTGGCAAAAAGTTGACAAAAGCTGCAGTATGGACATGACTTTTGACCAAAATAACATCATTAGGAAACGTTAAGCTAGCATCATAACTAATTAATTTTATCTCAATGTCACTTGAGTATGGATTATATAGCCAAACGACTTGTTGCGTGTAGGAAGCGTTATCAATAACCACGGGGGTTAATTTATTTGTCAATAACATTGCCATAGGATTGAACTCGGATATTGCCGCAATTAATTTAAGCTTAACAATATAATGTGATGAGCTAATTGAAAGAAAAAGAAGAAAATTATTTTGTGTATAGTAAGGAGCTGATGAGGTTTTTAAGTTTTTGGATGGTATGTGAATAGCTTCGTTAATAATTTCATAGAAAATTTGAAAATAATATTTTAGACTCTACAAAATCCCAACTATTCATTTTCATCCAAAAATTAACTTCCACAAATACTCACACAATATGAAATGTAATATCATGTTGACCCAGCAACTCATATCGAAAAACCATATCCAGTTCTATTGAATTATTGGATTTAATTTGTACATTTGATGGTCGTAGATCTGCAATATTACGATGTGGACATTTGAATCCACTTCCATTCTTCCTAACTCGATTTTGCTTCAATGAGCAATCACATGAAGTTCGCTTGAAAATTTTCAATTCTCTTTCATCTGTTTCGGATGTGTTTTGTACAATGAATGTGAAACAAAGCGGTGTCGAGTGTAATGGCATTTGTGGAATGTGCATTTCAAAGGTTTGTGGCTCGTTAGATTTGATATTGGCGAGGATGTAATTTAATCTGCAATAGAAATTTTGCATTTCAATCAAACCTCAAAATTAGAATTGAATTTAATGTAAAAAATTATGAGCTAAACTTACCGATTAATTTGCAACGAATTCCAGTAAAATTCTTTTGGCATAATTCCATCTTTTATGGCTATATCAACAACTTTCAAATTCATTTTGTGTTATGTAAAAAAAACTTTTAATGTAATCAAAACTTTTGCAAAGGCAACTGCGAGAAACTTCGAAAATTATCATAATCTAATGAAGAAGTACATTTAACAGATTATTTTTTAAGATATCTTTAAGTCGACCAGGATGCTGATCAGAAAAAGGCACGTGAAAAAGTTGACTGACCCAAATTTTCTTTATAGCAATAATTTCTACCCAAAATACCTTAACGAAAAGAATAATTTAATCGAGCCACCGTAAATTCTACTGCTGAGAATAAATCCTTTATTCTGCAAAGAGCTGTTCTCGAATTGGAGTGCCTTCAGCTCAAAAAAGTAGGACCTTCTTACAGCTCACTTAATATTACAGAATGCTTTAAAAGAAGAGGGATGTGGAATTAATATCAGTGTCCATAGACTGACTATATTCATAGTTTTTCAGACACATCTTTGAATTCATTGAACCCAGTCTGATCACGTCCTTATCTGTTTCTGTTTACTTCTCACCAAAAATCTCCAAAACCTTTTTTTCTGTGTCTCTTGATCCTGTAAATTTATCTGACAAAGACATCAACTCATGTCTACCTTATTTACTATACAGGCATCCTAAACTGAATGTCACGCAAAAGTTACTTCCACGAATAAAAGGTGCATTAAAGGTCAAATGTTTCACGACCATGGACGATAATTTTTCATCCAATAAAGCAGTATCGTAAACAGCTTGAACCTTTCCTTCTTGTTATCAATTTATAACTTTTTAACAACTTCAAAAGCACATCTAATGGAAAGTTTCTCGTAAATTTATAAATTTGTTAATTGCTGCGGCGTGCAAATATTTTTTTAATATTCCACTGTTGGCAATTTTGCTTCATAAGTTTTGAAATCCAAGACGGACAACTATACCTTTAAGCTGGAAAGATATGTCTTGGTTGTTTCTCTAATGCATCCCGCAGATGTTACAACTTCATTGCCTGATATCAAAATTTCATTGCAAAAAACCTCTTGGATCTTGTTAAGCAGACCACATAACTTACCAAGACAAAGCTCCTTTTGTAAATATTGATCTTCTTATAAATTGGGCTTGCTCTTCTTAAGGCTATCTACAAATAAGTGTGTTTACTACTGAATTTGCTCCAAAAACTGCAGAATGGTACTGAGAGTAAATACGTATGTAAGGAAGATTGAAGCCAACTTTGAAACAAGTTGAAACCACTTGAATGATATGAGATGGATCTTTGTTAAGATTTGGGCAAATATTTCTAAATCCATAGCTTATTTCCAGCTGCTCATTTTGTTCAGGTCATAAAATCGGATTCAATTCAGCCTCTTCTTCATGCACTTAACAATATGGCTTCATCTATTTGGCTCGTGTTGTTTTATCGCTTAATTAAAACCAGAAACATTTTGCTGCTCTTTTTCCTCCAAAATGTAAGCATTTCAGGTGCCGAAAAAATTTTGAGCAGGACGGTGGGGCGATTTCTAATTTTAAACATGTAAATGAGCTGAAAATGAAATAAAAAAAAAGATTGTATAAATTTTGAAATGAATTTGACTTACTTTTTGTTGTCTTAAATGCTGATTCGGTTAAGATTCCTGGTGAATGTGGTGGTGCAGAACTTGAAACTTGCGATTCGTCTTGCTTAATGGTTGTCTGGTCATACGGCGTGAGAATTCCCTTATCGATAACTTCCAAACTTGTGCTTATGTGTTTGAATGACATCTGATGGATCTATGTTAAGATTTGGGTAAATATGACTCAATCCATAGCTTATTTCCAGCTGCTCATTTTGTTCAGGTCGTAAAATTTGATTCAATTCAGCCTCTTCTCTATACACTTAAAAATATGGCTTCATCTATTTGGCTCGTGTTGTTTTATCGCTTAATTAAAGCCAGAAACATTTTGCTGCATTTTTTCCTCCAAAATGTAAGCATTCCAGGTGCCGAAAAAAATTTTGGGCAGGACGGTGGGGCGATTCCTATTTTTAAACATGTAAATGACCTGAAAATGAAATTAAAAAAAGATTGTATAAATTTTGAAATGAATTTGACTTACTTTTTGTTGTCTTAAATGCTGATTCGGTTAAGATTCCTGGTGAATGTGGTGGTGCAGAACTTGAAACTTGCGATTCGTCTTGCTTAATGGTTGTCTGGTCATACGGCGTGAGAATTCCCTTATCGATAACTTCCAAACTTGTGCTTATGTGTTTGAATGACATCTGATGGATCTATGTTAAGATTTGGGTATATATGACTCAATCCATAGCTTATTTCCAGCTGCTTATTTTGTTCAGGTCATAAATTTGATAAATATTCAGCTTCTTTACCTTGCACTTAACAGAATGGCTCATGTTGTTTTATCGCTTAATTAAAACCAGAAACATTTTGCTGCTCTTTTTTCTCCAAAATGTAAGCATTTCAGGTGCCGAAAAAAATTTTGGGCAGGACGGTGGGGCGATTCCTATTTTTAAACATGTAAATGACCTGAAAATGAAATAAAAAACAAGATTGTATAAATTTTGAAATGAATTTGACTTACTTTTTGTTGTCTTAAATGCTGATTCGGTTAAGATTCCTGGTGAATGTGGTGGTGCAGAACTTGAAACTTGCGATTCGTCTTGCTTAATGGTTGTCTGGTCATACGGCGTGAGAATTCCCTTATCGATAACTTCCAAACTTGTGTTTACGTGTTTGAATGACATCTGATGGATCTTTGTTAAGATTTGGGTAAATATGACTCAATCCATAGCTTATTTCTAGCTGCTCATTTTGTTCAGGTCATAAAATTGGATTCAATTCAGCCTCTTCTCCATGCACTTAACAATATGGCTTCATCTATTTGGCTCGTGTTGTTTTATCGCTTAATTAAAACCAGAAACATTTTGCTGCTCTTTTTCTCCAAAATGTAAGCATTTCAGGTGCCGAAAAAATTTTGAGCAGGACAGTGCGGCGATTCCTAATTTTAAACATGTAAATGAGCTGAAAATGAAATAAAAAAAAAGATTGTATAAATTTTGAAATGAATTTGACTTACTTTTTGTTGTCTTAAATGCTGATTTGGTTAAGATTCCAGGTGAATGTGGTGGTGCAGAACTTGAAACTTGCGATTCGTCTTGCTTAATGGTTGTCTGGTCATACGGCGTGAGAATTCCCTTATCGATAACTTCCAAACTTGTGCTTATGTGTTTGAATGACATCTGATGGATCTTTGTTAAGATTTGGGTAAATATGACTCAATCCATAGCTTATTTCTAGCTGCTCATTTTGTTCAGGTCATAAATTTGATAAATATTCAGCTTCTTCACCTTGCACTTAACAGAATGGCTCATGTTGTTTTATCGCTTAATTAAAACCAGAAACATTTTGCTGCATTTTTTCCTCCAAAATGTAAGCATTCCAGGTGCCGAAAAAAATTTTGGGCAGGACGGTGGGGCGATTCCTATTTTTAAACATGTAATTGAGCTGAAAATGAAATAAAAAAAAAGATTGTATAAATTTTAAAATTAAATCGACTTACTTTTTGTTGTCTTAAATGCTGTTTCGGTTAAGATTCCTGGTGAATGTGGTGGTGCAGAACTTGAAACTTGCGACTCGTCTTGCTTAATAATTGTCAGTCAAACGGTGCCAAAATTCCTATATTGATAATGTTCCAAAAGCTTCTCTAGAGTCAGAAAAATCTTAATTTAATACACAGAGATGTAGAACTTGTGAAAATTGGGAAATGATTGTCTGTTGTCTTATGACATCATCAAGAAAATGCTAAATTTGGTTCTCACATACCTCTATAGCTTCTCCTGCCATTAGAGTTTCTTATCTGGTTCTTCATTTGCATGTGCATTTTTCTTAGTATTCACTAGTTTCTATGTAGAAACTTGTCTTCATCCTCATTTTCTTAGCTGTCTTCATTATTCGCGCGAAGTTGTTCCATTGACTGTTGCTTACGAATTTATTTTGGCAGTCTTTCGTTATAGCTTTCCTGTTGTGGTTTTCTTCATCTGGCTTGACTGTTGATGCATGATAAAATGAACTTGAAAATAAAGAGATGAAGGTGGTAGAGAATTTTTTTAACGATTCCAATTCTGAAATTTCCGTAGGCTAAAATTTGAAAGAAAAGAAAAAAAAAGAAGGAAAAAAGGAAGAAAATAAAGTAAAAAGGTTAAATTAATTAATCTGATAAAAATTTAAAAATATACAAAAATAATAATCTTCTTCTCTGTCTAGAAAGTAGTTTTGCTGACTCCGCTCTCTTTGTAGCTGCTTGTTATCGATTTGAATTTTTTCTTCGTCTTCATCTTTATATTCCAAGCTGTCTTCTTTATCCTTACAAAGTTGTTTCGTGGATTCTTGATTTTACTCCATTCTTTGTTAGAAATCATTCTTGACTAAAATCAACTCTCTGTTATGTTCATTTTGGTGATTGAAGTCAAAAGGTTAAAACTTTGATCTTAAAACTCTTGATCTTGCATCAAAAGAGGAACTTGAGAAATGAATTATTCGGAGATAGAGAATGTGATCAGTCGTAGGCTAAATTTCCAAAGAAAATAATGAGAAGAAAAAAGAAAGAAGAAAAAACCTGCAGAAAAAAAGGAAGAGTTTAAAAAGAAAAAGAAATATAAATTTTTTCTCTGCTCTGTCTTTTGCAGACTTGTCGCTGAATCCGCTCTCTTTGTAACTCTTTGTCTTCATCCTTAGATCAAAAGCTGTCTTTTTATCACCGCCGAGTTGTTTTAGGGATTCTTGATTCAATTTCATAGATTTGCACGATAAGTGTGATGAAAATCATTCCGTCTGTTCCAATATTCACTGTCTTATTCTAAGATGCAAAGTTAATCTTGATACAAAATCTCAAAGAACTGATTGAATTGATGGTGTGTGATAGTCTGAATGTGATATTTTAAATTTATCTTATTTAAGCAAATGCACAAAGATTTAAAGCTTGTGAAAGTTTGCAATCATCAAAACGCTGAATTTTATTTCACATACCTCAATCGGTTTTCGTGCGATTTAAGTTCTTATTGTCTTATTCTCATCATCCGTTTATGTAAAAGCTTGTTGTGTCAAACACTTTA